GTCTTTGTTTCCTGGTATTTTAAAATAAACGTTTTAACAAAAAATGTTCAAATTACTAATTTAAAAACTTAATAATCTGATTATTTATTGGTGCTTATGAAACAATGTTTCATTACAACCTGAGTTAAAAGTTAATATAATGAAATATAAAACAATTAAAAATCTGATTCCTGATGTTTCCACAGGATTGCAGAAAATGATTTCATTCTCAGTTGTCATTTTTTCCATTTCAAACCTACAAAATATATATATAAAAAAAACTTTCCTTTTATTGTCATTGTGAATGAAGAAAGCACAACGAAATTCTAAAAATAGCAACTCCGCAAGGCAAGTAAAATAATAAATAAGTATCTCAATAAATAAAAAATGGTTTGATTTTGACATTTTAAATTAGCAGTTTTTTTATTCGAGCTGAGTCCGTATTTTATAATCTGTCCCATCTAACGATAGATATATAAATATATATAGATATATAAAGTTATTAATTTTACATTTTGTTTTCAGTCAGGAATGTCTACATTTATGAAGTTAAGGTAAACATGACGTCAGATTAAATATATTAAATTTCACGGACGTTTGATTTCTGTCTTTTCGCATAAAGTGATATTTGGCGATATGACTTTTAAATATATTGTTTTAGTTTCATTTAATTTTGAAGGGGAAATTTAGACGGGGGGGTGGGGGTAACCTGAAACTTTGTCACGTGATCGCGTTGCCATGGCAGCGCCTCATGTTGCTATTCCCGCAGATCTGCGGTTCGCTTCGCGTTCCTAAAACCTGCGGGGTTTAAATCTGCTGCTGCTGTGGAGCCGATCGGTGAAATAAGATGGTGAGGAAATATTTATTTTCCATCAATAACTTGGCAGATATCAGCATCACGGTGTGGTTTAAAGTTGTTAGCATGTTAGCTTAGCATCAGCAGCTCTAACGGTGTGGATGTCTCCGGGTTTCCCACCTCCAGCCGCCGAAGAACAGAAACAAGAAGTCCGGGAAAGGGAAGCCCTCCGCGGTGGTGGACGCTCTGTCCACGGAGGAGATGTCCAAGGACCAGGTGGGACCCGCTGGTTGATGCTAGCGAGACTAACTGGTGGTTTATTCACTCTTTAGTTAATCTGTGTAACAGAATAAAAAACACTTCAGTCCGGTTCTGACCAATCTGGACCGATTCAACCTGTCGGAACCAACATGGAACAGGTTCATGTTAGAGAGGAGGAACCGGGGATCGAATCACCGAACTGTGGATTTACCCTGAAAGCGCGCGCAGCGCCATCTGCTGGAGAACAGGAGGAATTACAACTAAAATCTAAACACCTGATTGGTCAGAAAGGCGATCGCTTTTCTGACTTTAATTTACTGCCGCTGTTTAAACCTCAGAGTAACGGAGCTGATGTCTCTCTGCTACTGCCGATTTCAGTTTGTACATCAGATTTTACTTAAATCCACATCATTTTCACCATAATTTAGGCAACATATTACAAATGCGGGGCTGCACAGTGGCGCAGTAAGTAGCACTGATGCCTTGCAGCAAGAAGGTTCTAGGTTCGATTCCCTACCTGGGGTCTTTCTGCATGGAGTCTCCATGTTCTCCCTGTGGGTGCTGGGTTCTCTCTGGTTCTCCACTTCCTCCCACAGTCCAAAAACATGACTGTCAGGTTAATTGGTCTCTAATTTCCACCTAGGTGTGAGTGTGTGTGCATGGTTGTGTGTCCTGTCTGTCTCTGTGTTGCCCTGCGACAGACTGGTGACCCGTCCAGGTGACCCCGCCTCTTGCCCGGCACCAGCACCCCTCCCGACCCCACCAAGGGACAAGGGTGCACAGAAAATGGATGGATCCCTCATTCAGTGTTTATGTTATGATAATTTTGATTACATTTAATACATAAATAAATAATACATAAATAAAGAAAGAATACATTTGTACTTTATATTTATATAAAGTGACATTTATATGTTTATAAATATGTTTGAATGAGAAGTGATATTATTGGTAAGTATGATTGATAAAATATTTATCAAACCTGAGGAGAATGAAGTCAGGAGACATAGCAGACCGGCACCTGACTGTGGATTTAAAGGGCTCTCTGTCAGCGCGTGTAAGTCAACACAGAACAAAAAAGTTCTGTTAGGATTCAGGTTCATCTGGTTCTGATGAGGCCCGTTTGACAGATTAAAATAGCCTTCAAGCAGGGATTAAACATGTTTTCAGTGGTTCTAGGGTGGACCAGCGGCCGGTCCGGTTCGGCGCGGTCCGGCTGATGGATTGTCCCCCTGCAGCTGGAAGAGCATGTGGTGCGGCTGCGGGAGGAGCTGGACCGGGAGCGCGAGGAGCGGAGCTACTTCCAGCTGGAGCGCGATAAGATCCGCGGCCTGTGGGAAATCTCCCGGCGGCGGCTGGAGGAGGCGGAGGCGGAGCTGAGGGACGGCGTCCGGCAGAGGGACGAGGCCGCGGAGCGCCACCGTGTGGAGATAACGGTGAGCTCTTACAGAGCGTGACTTCTGACCCCGCCTCTCGGTCCAGATCCTTAATCTGTGTCGGGTTTTCAGGTCTACAAGCAGAAGCTGAAGCACGTCCTGTCTGAGCAGCACAACGCAGTCTGTGAGATGAAGACGGATGCCGTCTCCTCTTCCTCGCTGCTCCGGAACCGTAACGGCGGGTCGGAGCTGGATCTGCAGCGGCAGCTCCGGGATCTGCAGGCGGCTGGCGAGCAGAAGACGATCCAAGAGCACGGCGCCGCCAAGGAGCTGCAGCTGGTGAGGAGACCACCCAACGCTTTTCATCTCCTCTTCCTCTTTGTCTCACCCTCCTCTTCCTCCTCAGAAGCACCAGGCGGAGCTGATGAGGCTCGGTAACGAGTACGAGCGGCAGATCCATGGTGAGCTCCTCTTCCTCACTGTCCTTCCTCCCCCTCTGTCCTGCTTCATGCCGCCGGTCGGCTGCTTCCTCCCCAGAGCTGGAGATGAGTTTCCTCCAGAGGGCGCACTCCCTGATGCAGGCGGAGGACAGGAAGCGCCGCGCAGCTGTCAGCGAGGTGGAGCAGCGGATGAAGAGCCGCATGGAGGCGCTGATGGAGGAACATCACAGAGTCCTACGCAAAGGAGAGGAATACTTCTCCCAAATTCAGAGGAACCAGCAGGAGGAGCTGGACAGGTGGAAGGTAAGCAGGAAGTCCTGGAGTAGATCCCTCTGGGTAATCTGGAGTAGATCCCTCTGGGTAATCTGGAGTAGATCCCACTGGATCCCCTGAGCCCTCCCTCTCTGTACCAGGGCGAGCTGAAGAAGCTGCAGAACCAGAAGCTGCGGTGGGAGAAGAAGATCTCAGCAGCTCAGCAGGAGAACCAGCGTCTGAAGACGACGCTGCAGGAGGTCCAGCAGAAGCTTCCGGAGCTGCACAGACGGCTACAGGAGCACCAGCACTCCAAGCAGAGGATGGAGGTAAGGGGGCGGAGCCAACACCTGGAAGCTGCTCAGCGCTGATGGTGATGATGATGATGGTGTGTGAGCAGGAGTACCGAGCTCAGCAGAAGCTGGTTGATCAGGAGCTCAGAGACCTGACGGTGGAACACGAGCTGCTGCTGCAGGCCTTCCAGAAGGTAAACCCCTTCCTCCCTGCTCCTCCTTCCTCCTCCTCCCCGCTGACCCCTCCAGGTGTTCCCGGCAGATGCAGGAGGAGCGTGACGAGCTGCTGAGGAGGCAGACGCAGAGCATCCTGGACGTCCAGCAGAGGAGCGGCCTGAAGAAGATCCTGCTGCAGAGGAAGCTGGAGGCGCTGAGCCAGACTCTGGAGAAGAAGGAGGCGCAGCTGAGCGCCGCGCTGTCCGTCTGCAGCGTGGAGCCCACGGCGCGCAGCAACGCCGCCAACAAGCTGCAGGTAAGAGGCCGGGGGGCCGCTCCGCTGGGCGGCACCAGAACCTCTCCACAGGTTCTGATCAGGAGCAGAAACACCGGGAGGAGTTTAACTCAGGAACAGCTGATTCATCCTGAAGGGAAACCAGACAGTTGTTCAGTCAGCTGAACAACCGTCTGGAGCAAAAACACGTTGAAGTATTTCTACTCTCAGTACTTCCTGTCTGCAGCCTCCAAACACGGCAGCAGCGCTTCTTCAGCTTCCTGTGAACACAAAGTTAGAATCCGCCCTGCAGGAGAGGAGAAGGTCTGGGAGAAGAGGAATCTTCATCCTCCACACTAAACTCATCATTCTGGTTTCTCTGGAATGTTGGAGGCACAGCAGCCAGGAGTTCGTTAGCTTAGCAACTGAACTGATGACATCACAGAGTGTTAGCTTAGCAACTGAACTGATGACATCAGAGTGTTAGCTTAACAACTGAACTGATGACATTACAGAGTGTTAGCTTAGCAACTGAACTGATGACATCACAGTCGCCACCAGGTTCATAATACTTGAGAAACTCCTCTGAAATCATGTAGTAAAACTTTAAGCTAACGTAGCTAGAAGCTAGTTAGCATGTTGCTACATAAGCTAGCAGAATGGCCTAATTCCAGGATCTGATGCTAACTAGCAGCTTTCAGGAAGTGAAGGAGTGACCTCGGTTCTTCTGGGATTTTCTGACTCTGAAACCTGTTTCCAGGAGATCCTGGAGTCCAAACGGACCGCCATGGAGGCTCTGCAGCTGGACCTGGACCAGGGCGCCCAGGTCAGTGTACCTGCAGCTTCCCGCTTCCTGTCCTGCAGCCACTGACGTCCTGCATGTCTTCCTGCAGCTGCTGCACCCCCTGCAGGATGACGTGGAGGTCGCCGTTGTGCCACCGCTCCGCTCTCCCACCAGACCAGCCAAGCCGGTTCTAGAGGAACCCGGACTGGACCGCTGGTGACCAGAATGGATCCGACTGTTCATGTTTTTCTGCTGAACTCGGATCAATTCGGAACCAGAAACCTGATGCTGCCACTGCTGCTGACATCGTCAACAGCTTTCTCACCGCTGCGCCTCGATCGCCCCAACAAATCCAACCACTGCTGGTTAGGCCCCGCCCCCTCCCTAGAACTTCCTGTGTTTAAGTCATCATGAAATAAACTGATCTCACATCTGATTGGCCAGCTGTTAGGGCTAGCCCCGCCCCTTACTAATGGCCGACAAATCAAAACGCTGCAAGAAAAATGAGAAAATGAAGATTTTCAGATTTCATTGAATCAGATTTATTTTGTATATTTCAGACATTTTTACATTTAAATTATTTCCAGTTTTATCGTCGGCTTTCCAGCAGAAAGGAACATTTTGGTCCAACCTGCCGTCGGTTCTGATCCGGTTTTATTGGCTCATAATTTATTGATTTATAGCAGCAAACAGGAAGCTTTGTTTCTACAGAGAAGCTACAGATCTTCTCCACAACCCTTCGGATCCAGAACTTGGGTTCTGTTCTGTCCTGAGCAGCTGAAGGAACCAGAACCAGAACTGGGCGGGTTCTGTGGTCTGAGCCGAACTTAAGCTTCTGTCGTCCAGACCGGATCGACTCGTCCTGCAAGACCAAACAGGAGAACCACCAGAACCACATAAACAGGAAGGTCCAGACCTCTGTGGCTGGTTCTGTCTCAGCTGGTTCCGTGGCTGCTGGACTCGAAGACGCCCTTCTTGAAGAACGGAGAAAACTCACAGATGTTGAACTTTGACAGGCGGAAAACTCCGTCCTCATCGGGTCTGAGAGGAGAACCGGAGCAGGACAGCATGACCCGGAACAGGTTCCTTAGGTACCGCTGGGGAGACAGGCAGACGGGTCATCAGAACCACCAAAATCCTAAAGCACTTATCAGAAACATTAGCTCTGCTAACACTAAGAGCTAATCGCTATGCCAGGGTTGATAATTAGAATAAGCTAATGCTAAGATGTTATACCAACACAGTATTTAGCAGAAGCTAATGCTAAAGCGCTAAGCAGCTAACCATGTTAGCTAACCATATGTCAGCATGTCAGTCTGCAGTCTGTCGCCCCCTACAGGATCAGAGCTGCCACTGCACTTCTTCCTGTTCACTTTGTTTTTCTCAGTTTTACAGTCATCAAGTTTTTCTAACTGTTGCGGTTCGACTTCCGTCAAAAAGCAGCAGGACATTTTATGTACTGTAGACCTACAGCAATGCATTCTGGGTACAGAGTAAACATCTTTTACCGCATCACATCTGGAGGATCTAAACAATCCATGGGAATCTTAGGATGCATGTTTAATAAAGTTTTTAAAAAAACACTATGAGAGGACCTGTAGGCCCGGTTCCGGTTGCCGGTCCGGTTCCTACCGATCCGTCGTACCTCCAGGTGGCTGCGGCGCTCCGATACCATCCGCTCGTCCCGGTTCCCAAACAGCTTCTTCGGAGGAAACTCCAGCGCCGCCAGCTGGAAAACAAAGGCCATCAGAACAGAACCAGAACCACGATCAGGCCCGGTTCTGAACAACAGTTTCATCAGAACCAGAACCAACGGGTCAGGTTCTGGCGGCTCACCTCCGGATATTTGGACTTTAGGCTCCTGTGCATTTCTCTGAAGCGGCTGTAGCGTCTGAACACGGTCCAGCTGTCGTCCATCACCGAGACCTGATGAAGACAGAGCAGCTCTTCATCACTGCTGGGGAACCGGGCCCAGCAGAACCGGGCCCAGCAGAACCCTCAGCGCCTCCCAGAGACTGATTATAAACTTTGATTAAAATCGGACTCGGACGTGAATCTCTGTTCGGTTCCTTCTGGTTTCAAAACAAAACTCACAAAAACTAAAAGCCTAAATGTAAAATTTTATTAAAAATAAACAGTTTAATTTTTGCTTTAGCTTTCTAAATTTAAAATTAATTCATGGTGGTTTTCATAAGTGGAGAAGTTTTTGTGAAAACGAGTTCAGGTCCAAACGTCCCGATGGAGAAACACATTATCTAGAAAAGTGAAACTATTTTTGCAATCGTTTATTGTATTTATCTAGTTTTAAAACTTAAACAAAAACCCACCAGATTATTTTTTCTTTGCTGCATTTTGAAACTGAAAAACCGCAGAACAAACCAAACACGGCAGGTTTCTGCTGCCATAAAACCAACGGCAATAAAATCAGAGATATGGAAACATGATTTTATTGTTATATACCTTGTGAATCTGCTGGTTTCATACTGGTTTTACTGGTTCAGCTCGTCCTCGGCTCCCTCAGAAAGCCGTCTTTCTGTTATAATTCAAATGTGTCGTTTTGCTCCGTGGCGACCTGCAGAAATGGATGTAAACGTACCTGAGCCGAGCGGACTCACCTTGACCTCGAACTCGAAGTGTTCGTCCTTGCCCTGGCCGCGCAGGACGTAGCGCGGGATGCTCACCCTGACCGGCTCCTTGGCGGCGCAGCGCGTCCCGGCCGGGCGCGACATCAGATGCTGCGCAACAAATCACCAAAACCAGGCGGGAAACAGACGGAAAGAGGAGCAGACAGTAAACCATCGACCGGAACAATCTGGGAAAAAACGATGAGATCTAAGAAACGCTCAGACAACCATCGTTAAAACGGATGGAATCTTTATTTAGTTTCAAAACTATTGCAAACACGCTGTGCAAAATTCAACGTTCATGTATTTGGCTGTGAATTAATAAAAACTGTGAAGTGACATCATCATTCCCCCTTTGTAATCAAACTTTCATCTTCAGTCAGCAGCAGATTCTCTTTATTGCAGATTTAAATTCAGTCTTTGTGATTTCAATAAGTTACTAAAAAGTTTAAAACATTTAAAATTTCTTGTTTTAGGTCTGATGTTTCAGTCGGTGCTGCAGACGAGCTCTGCTGGCTCCATCTTCAGATGCACAGATGGTTGATGAGGATCTGAGCTTCTGCAGAGCAGCCGAAACTTAACTTCCAGGATTCACTCCGACCGCCGCAGGAGGGAACGTGGGCGGAGCGCCGCTTTGGCTCCGCCTTCCGTTTCGGAGTTTGTTGATTGTGATTTGTGAAGACGACGTCGACGTTGAAGCAGGCTTTGTTCCTCCTGACCAGCAGACACCGGATGTCTGAACGCCGCCGCAGCTTCAGTCCCTGGAACTGCGGCTGGACGGGAACCCAGCTGGAGCCCCGCGGCGCCGGGTGAAACACTCCGTCCTCCCGCAGGAGAGCAACGTGGGTGTCGGTCAGAAGAAACTGGAACAGAGAGTCCTGGTGCAGCCGGCCGCAGCTCATCACCCTGACGCTGCTGTAGAGCAGAGGACGAATGTCCGCCAGGGAAGGTTTGCTGGGGCCGTCCATGTTCCCATGGACGATGTAGAGCAGGTCCGCTAGGACCCGCTTGAACCTGGAAGTGAGGTTCAGACCGATGTCTGAGACGATGTCAGGAACCCGGGAGGTCCAATCCAGAGACATAGCCATGAGGTCCTGCGACAGCAGCGGGTGACTCTCCATCACCTCAGAGAACGTCTCCGGACAGCGAGCCTTCAGCACCGCCTTGCAGAAGTCCTGTGTGAGCTCCTGGTTGTGAGTGAAGACCGCCAGAACCAAGTCCTCACTGGATCCGATCAGGCGGACATGCTGCCCTGCCAAACTGATCTGGACCTCCCGGATCTCCATAAGGTCAAAGTGATGGAAGAGACCGAGGGTGTCCGATGCAACCTGGCTAGCTGAAACTACCGTCAGGTCCAGTTCTGACAGAAGGAGGCAGGCTGGTTCTGGACTGGGTTGGTCAAAGCTGGCCGCTCTGAGCCAGAAGATGCTCAGGATCCTCCTACCTGGTCTTTGAGGAGACAGTGATTCAGTTCTGTCAATGATCTGCTGGGATGAGAGACTACGAAGCTGTGCCAGAACTGGTGGCAACTCAATTAGATTCTGATAAAACTCCTCCGGGCGGCAGTCCTCTGGACCGGCATTTCTGATCGAGGACACAGAGCCCTTCGGCCACGTTGACATGGCATTCAAACCAAACCCTTGAGCAGTACTGGACAGGTCCACCAAGGAGACTTTGTTTTCCAGAACAGAGGGATGTTTTGGTGTCTGGATCAGTGGAAAATCTCTGGACCTCATGGTGACGTATTGAGAGACGGCATACTTCATATCGTCGACTCCCACATTTCGGATTAAATCTCTTGTGCCCTGAATTCGTCTCTCTGCATCTTTGAAAACATCTGAAAGTTTTCCTGTGAAGTATCCTAAAACGTGGCTCCTGTTTGTCTCACTTGGATCTTGGCTGGAACCTTTTTCTGAGCTCTGTGACGTTGTTGGTTGACCGCTGGGAAGTTCTGCTTCCTCTGCTCTCCACGGGTACAAGGCTTGGTTCTTGACTTTTGTAACATAGTCCCAAAGGTTCGACTTACTGGTCGTCATGTTCACTGGTTTTTCATTTTCCTCTTGTCCGTTCAGACCACTGATGGCATGGAAATCCTGACTCTCAGGCCCATCTGACCTCCAGGGGTGAAGGGTCTGATTCCTAACCTTTGCAACATAATCCCAAACGTTATTCCGGGTGGAGGATACCCTTTCTGGAGCTTCATCTTTTTCTTGAGCCATTTCGCTGCCACCAGACTTAATGGACTCTTTGCTAGAGTTGGGTAGATCAGATGGTTGCTCAGGTTCTTCCAGTCTCCATGGGTTCAGTGTTTGGTTCCTAACTTTAGTGACATAGTTCCAGACAAAGCTCCTTGCAGTTGACACCCTTCCTGCAGCATCACCTCTGTCTCCTTCTGTTTCATCACTGACTGACCTCGTGTTTTGCTTGGAGCTGATATAGTCTCGACCAGAACTCAGCCACTTGAGCAGCTCAGACTCTCTGGTCGTCCACGGGTGCAGCGTTTGGCTCCTGACTTTAGAAACATAATCCCAAATGTAGCTCCTGTTGGTCAGTTCCTGCTCTGCCGATGCCTCTTTGTCTTGTTCCAACTCTTCATCGCCTTCCAGGTTTAACCTTTGATTTTTGACATTTTCAAGGTTCTCCAGGAAGTTGTTCCCATTGTCTGACTCCTCCTTCTTAGCTGTACCATTGGCGGCGTCTGCTGGATCTTGCTCAGAGATGTTAAACTCGCTGCCAGAGCTTTGAAGCTTTAACAGTTCTGGCTTATCTGCTCTCTCTGTTTCATCAGCTCCATTCTTGACATTTTCAAGCTGGTCTAAAGCATTGTTCTTGCTATCCAACATCTCTTGTTTCATCGGTTGGTAGACGTGATGTTTCGAGTCCTGTCCTGAGTTGATGAAATCATCGTCAGAGACGTGAGAATCGGAAGGTTCCAACTCTTCTTCGACCTGATTTTGCACGTCGATATCCTCTGAAACACGGCTCTCAGAGTCCAGGAGCTTCTCCACTTCTTGTTTCATCTCTTCGTTAGCGTCGGCTTTCCAAACTTGCTCAGACTCGATTAACTCCTCGCCAGATCTTTGCGGTTTTAAAAGATCAAACTCCTGTGCTGCATGAATGAGAACATTCTGGCCTTGGTTCTTGACATTTTTGAGATCCTCCAATTGGTGGTACAGATGGGCCGATAAATCCTCTACTTCCAGCTTCATTGAACCGTTGACCTCTTCTTGTGAATCTTGTTTGGGGCTAATCTGAAGCTTTGAAAGTTCTGGGTCTTCAAACGTCTGATCGACAGTTTTCTCAGAGTGGGAATAAAATGTTTTGTTCAACATTTTCTCCAGATCCTCATAATCAGAGAGGATATAATAACCATCACTGGTCATGTAGTTGGTTCCACTCAGTTGGTTGGTCGCTTTGTAGCAACAATCAGGTCCACATACAGCTTGGAACTCCTTCCTTGCAAGAATGTTTACTTCTCCTTCCCACCATTTTTCCTTGTCTAGATCTTTTTCAATGAGGAGTTTATCAGAGGACTCCAGCCGTTTTTCTCTCTGAGGCTCCAGGAGTTCAGCCTTTGGTTCTTCAAACACGTTCTGGACGTCGGGGAGCGAGTTTGCCTCAAAGCCCGGAGGAGCCAGGAGGTTAGACCAGCAGGCGTTCTGTGAGCACAAGGGGGAAGTCCGTGACTACATCGCCAAGAAGGCTGGTAAAAGTGAGTGAATTAAACCGAAGTCCATGATCCACCAATCAGAATTACAGTCCAACCACCAGGTGAGAAACGAGAGATTTAAAGTGAAGCGTCAAGAGGTTGACATGCAAAGTGAACACAATTATTTTAGACAAAGGATGATTTAAAATAATTTGGGTTGAAGTTTTAATCTGTTTCCTATAGGCATGAAGATAATTTGATTATCTAATGATTCTTTTCCCACAGCAGAGCAAAAGTTTCCAACCCAAACTGGACTTTCATACAGACTCAAAACTATTCATACAGCAGACTGGCCACTGTAGCGTGAAGCCTCCAGCTGGCTGCACCTCACCTAGCGCTGGCCAATAATCACATTTTTGGATTTTAAAGATGGAAAATCTGGATTTCCTGTGAAGGTTTTCATAACGCTCCTGTTCCAACCCTGCAGATCCTGATTAGCCAGCCGGATCTCCCTGATCCGGGTCCAGTTCTGATTCCGGACTCATCCAGCAGGGTCTGGAGGTACTGCTCCAACCCAGAGAGCCGGATCGGCCTGACCGCTGACCCCACAATCACTTCAGCAGACGATTTTAACCAGAACAGAGCAGCAGACCGAACCGGACCTCAACACTCTTCAGTGTAGAAGCTGCTACAGAGAAAGATGCCACGGCAGCCATTTTGACTGGATAGGGGTCAACCTGGGCAGGTTTCTAGTCCATCTTAACAACCGGTGCTAAAAACAGCTTTGAATGTCAACTGCACATAAATAAAGTTCTGCTCTCACACCCAGTGTGACGGCGCCTCTCTCCTAATACAAATAATTAGCGAAGTCAGCTGACGAGAAAAATGAACTTCATGATGAATTGGCATCATGCCGTTTCCATGCAGCATAAATAACCAATAACTCATAATCTTAAGTCTCACCTCATACTTCAGTCTTCGTGGATTTATGTTCTGCAGTTTTTCCTCTTCCTGAAAACAAAAATTTAAATTAACAGCATCATAAAATAAAACTAAGTCGAGTTTCCCATCAGATCAACAACCAGATGGATTTACTAGATTAACGTTTATTTCAGAGGAGAAAGGAGCAGGTCCAAGAACAAGCTGGACAAAATGCATCCAGGAAACCATCATCATTATGAGGGTCATGCAGGGGTCAAGGTCAAGGTCAGGGCTCCTGGTCTTACCTCGTCTGTTAGCCTAACAGAGCTACAGTCGCTAACTTCCTCCTCGTCCTGCAGAGTCGAACAGCTGAACTTCAATTCTGACAAACAAGCTACACCTGACAGAACTCTACAGAACTGCAGGCTGGACCCGACTCAGAGGTCTGGGGTCAAAGGTCGTACCCAGAGAGAGTCGCAGGACACGGACAGATCCACGCCGCCGCCGTTCAGGAGGTTCATCTTCCTCAGCCGGCGCTGCACTTCTTCCTCGATGTAGGCGTTGATCCTGCTGGAGCATCAGAGCCTTAGAGCCGGACCGGAACCGGACCCATAACTGGAACCAGAACCGGACCCTACCTGTCCTCGGACAGCGGCAGCAGCGGGTTCAGACTCTGCCTGTGTCCGACCGGAGAGCTGCTGTGACCCATCTTCTCCTCGGTACCGACCGACTGGGCCCGGTTCTGGTTCTCACTCTCGCTGATGCGCCGCCGCAGCTCCTGGATCTCCTGCTCCACCCTGCAGAACAGAACCGGAGTTCTGAGTTTGGGTTGGACCGGCCGGGTCGGCCAGAACAACCAGAACCAGAAGCGGACCTGTGGCAGTCCGGCTGGGCGCGGCGCCGGTCGGGCCTCAGGGCGGCGTGGCGGCGCTCCAGCCGGGCCACGGCCTGCTCCAGCGCCTCCCGCTGCTGCGCCTCCCTCCAGGCCAGGATCTCCCTCTCCTTGCGCCGGACCTTCTCCTCCTGCCGCGCCACGTTGGCCGTGAACTCGCAGCTCTCCTGCAGCTGCTGCAGCTGCTGCGCGCCGTGCCAGTGCAGGTGCAGCTTGTCCTGCGTCTCCTCCAGCTCCTTCTCCACCTGGAACAGCGTGTTGTCCAGGCCGGCCGGCGCCGCACCGCGCCGCAGCACCTCCTGCGCCCTCTGCTGCTCCTCCACAAGCGCCGGTAGCACGCCGGCGGCCATGTTGGCCAGCTGCCGCTCCTTGAAGTGCAGGCGGTGCTGTGCCTGACGCAGCAGCGTCTCCTCCTGGCCGCCGCCATCCTCCAGCGCCCTCTGCTGGCGCTCCCTCAGACTGTGCGTGAGCTGCTGCAGCGTGCTCCTCTCTGCTGTCACCTCCTGCTGCAGCAGCTCCCTCTGCTGCTGCAGCACCTCCTGCAGCCGCCGCAGCTCGTCCACCTGTGCCTCCTTGAAGGCCAAGTACTGCTTCTGGACGGAGCGCGCCTCCTTTGCGGCGTCCTCGCCGTCCGTGCGCTCGGCGGCCTCCTTGGCGCGAAGCAGGGCCTCCCTGATCTCCGCCAGCACACGCCGCTCCTCCTCCAGGCGCCGCGAATCTTCTCTGGCCAGCAGCACCGCTGCCGCCTCCTGCGCCTCCCGCAGCTGCTCCTCCAGCCGGGCGACCAGACTCAGCTGCTCCCGCTCCTGCTCCTCCAGTCTCCGCCGCTCTGCCTCCAGGCGCGCCTGCTGATCCTCGCGCTCCCTCTGCAGCCGCTGCAGCTCGCGGCAGATCTCCATCTGCTCCGCCACCTCCTGCTCCTCCTGCTCCTCCTGCTCCTCCTGCTGCTCCAGCTCCTCCTGCTGCTCCAGCTTCCTGCGCTGCAGCGCCACCTCCTGGATCTCGGAGCGCCGCTCCTCCTCAAAGCGCTCCTTCTCGGCCAAGAAGTCCCGCAGGCGGCTCTCGATGTCCTGGCTGCGGCGGCGCAGGCTCTCCTCCTGCCGCAGGATGCGCTGCTGCACCTCCTGTGACTCCTTGCGCTGACTCTCCACCTCCTGCTGGAGGCGCTCCAGTTCCGCCTTCTCACTCAGCTGCTTCTCCTCCATCTCCTTGATCAGCCTCCTGCAGAAACACAAACAGAGGAACTGGACGTTTAACACCGCAGGTCATTCCGCCCAGACTTTGGTCTGACAGGCAGCCGACAAAACGGTAAAGGCAACAGAAAAATGCTGCAACCGCAGAAAACAGAAGCAGAAATAAAACGCTGCAAACTGGCTCCACAAACGTTGTTCCTCCAGACCACCAGGGGGAGCCGACCGAGTCGTCTGCAACCAGAACCTCAGTAAAGACAGGTATTCAGAAGGAAGTTGGAGGAAGAAAAGGTTTGTTATCCTTCATGTCTTCTACAATGGAACAGACTATGTGCTCCCCCTAGTGGCCTGGAGGATTTCTGTTCAGTGGAGCAAGTTACAGAGTTACACATTTGATGTTTTTGCCATTTTCGGCAGTTTAAGTTTTGCTTCTATTTCCTGTAGCTGTACGTTTTAGAATTTGCATCATTAAGTGTTTCTGCAATGTTAGTGACCCATAGATCTCATTGATCTGTGAAATTAAGAATACAATAAGGATAAAATTCCAGGCCGGTCCCGGTGGAACACCTGGGTGACGTTGGCCCCCCACCTTCTTCAAATCAGACAAAATTGGTTTCAAATGTTTGTGCTACGTTTGTGCTGCTTTGGCTTTGAAGATATTAATGAAAGTGTAAAGGTCAAAAGGTCAACCAGCCCCCCACTTTTATGAAATCAAACAAAATTGGTGTCAACTCGACTACGTTTGTGCTGGTTTGTGCAGCAAAAATTTTCGTTTATACTGCTATCTTTTTAAAGATATTAACAGTAGTTTATAGAGGTCAACAAGCACAAACGTTTGACACCAATTTTGTCTGATTTGAAGAAGGTGGGGGGGCGACTTCACTCAGGTCAGAGGAACGCCTCAGGGCTCCCAGCTGGGATCCTTTCCACTTCCAGACAAAATGCTTCCGGTTTCATCAGCAGAGAGAGGCGGGCTCACGGGGAACAGCAGCCAATCAAAACGCTCCGACATCCACATTTATAACTCAGTTAAAAAAGTAATTTGAGCTTTGACAACAATAAAATGTGAGATTATGATTATGTTGCAGCATCTGCCTCTAGCAGCCGTGCCGGCAGACACATTAGCGGACACATAAGTGACACGCTAAGTGACACGCTAAGTGACACGCTAAGTGACACGCTAAGTGACACGCTAAGTGACAGCCTGGCTATCGTTGGGAGGACAGCCCCGGTTTACCTCTTCATCTCCAGCTTCTCCAGCTCTTCTCTCTGCTGCCTCTCGAACTCCAGCCTGTGGTTGACAAACACTGTTAGCATCTGTTAGCATACCGTTAGCATCCTGGACGTCTTCTGAGGGACACCAGAGGACGTGACGGGCCGAGAGGACGGAGGCGGCAAATAAAACAAGCTGGAGGTGAAACTCCAGGGACAACAGAGGGTCTGGTGCTGGACAGTGAGGACAGGAGCAGCAAGCTGATGGCAGACAGACAGGTGGACGGGCGGGACAGTTAGACAGGAAGTGGACGACTACCTGAGGAAGACGGGGCCCTTCTGAGTGAAGAGACTGTCAATGGGACAGGGACATAGTTAGTCCTGGTCCACATCCAGTCAGCTCAGATCAATAACCAATAATCATAACAGTTCTTCTTCTGTGGTGTCGAGTCAAAACTGAACCGTTTCTATTCTCCGAAAAATGACTAAATTCAAAGACAAAATGCTAAAAATCGCTTCAAATCAACACGAAACAAGAAATAAAACCAAGACTGAGGCAAACAGAAGGAAACCAGGAAGATGAAGAAATATCAGGAAAACCGGGAAAAAAAGTAGAAAACTTGTTTTACATGTTTACTTTCTACCCAAAACCTTCAGCTAAAGGAATCAGTTCATCTGGTTCTTCAGCTAAAGGAATCAGTTCATCTGGTTCTTCAGCTAAAGGAATCAGTTCATCTGGTTCAGTTAAAGGAAGCAGGCTGAAGTTAAAATTGTTTTCCAGGCTGCTTAAAACCTTCGACTGGAAACATTTGTGTTTCCTGTCACTTCTGCACTTTTTCCTTCCACTCAACTTTCCAGTAAAACACCAGTAGATAGCCCTCTGACTGGTTTTGGTTCTTATGGAGGAGGTCTGCTGGTCGGGTCTGCAGACCTGGATGGCAGAGTGCAGAACCTGTCCAGAACCCGAACAGGACCGGATTAAACACCTGCATTGATCTGATGCAACATTTGGTTTCATTCTCTGCACCAGAATCAATGTCAACATCTGAAACGAGTCGCTCTGGTTGAAATTCATCTACAAAATTTTAAAAGTTTCACCAAATGGCAGAAAAATTAATTCCTGGTGCCGCTGTGATTCTGTCGGCTCCATCAGGGAGGAAACGTCTCGGTACGGGAGCTTCAGGTACTGATCAACAAATAAATGTGAGATTCTCAGAACCAGAACCACAGCAGGATGTGAGGTTCTGATGGTCGGACTCACCCCGGGTTGTAGAGCATCACGGTGGACAGGTTCTCACAGGACTTGGACAGGTCTGTCATGGACAGGCTGAACGAGGACAGGAGGCCGCTCTGAGGGGACAGAACAGGTTCTACAGAACCATCCTGAACCTCAGCTGAACGTCAGCTGAACCTCAGCTGAACGTCAGCTGAACCTCAGCTGAACCTCAGCTGAACCTCAGCTGAACGTCAGCTGAACCTCAGCTGAACCTCAGCTGAACGTCAGCTGAACGTCAGCTGAACCTCACCTGAACGTCAGCCCAAACGCCCTGACCGCAGCTGAACTCACCTTCCTTTTCTCCCTGAGCTTGGCCGCTTCCTTCGGATGGTTGAAGCGAAACATGTTGGTCCGACCCAGCAGAATAACGGCTCCTGCACCACAGACAGAAGGCCAACCAGTTAATGACCAATCGAGTTCCCAGAACCAGAACCGCTTTAGAAACTTCAGAAAAATTGGAGGGACCCGATGAACAAACCAGTGAAATTGAAAATCGAATCCTGAAAGAATCCACAGATATGAAGAACAATCTTCTCATTGTGACACACAGAGGGAAACAGCAGGGTTGTTTCAGTGCCTTAGAGCTAGCTTATGCTAATTATCATGTTGGTATCCACCTCATTCCTATGTCCCATGATGCTTTGTGTGAATTATGGGCACGACATCCACCGCAAGCCGGAACTGCCATTTGTTTACGTTACTCTAACGCTATCCGGCTTTCGTCCGGGCTTTTAGGCTATCACAGCTTAAATGTGACAGTATCGGTTTACCGCAACCCACAGCTATTGCGGGGAGGGATGGCGACGTCGCACTATCATATGTAGCTACTTCACTGACTCAGTTGCTTCGGATGCAGAGGTGGCTTATCTTGAACTTGCTGCAGCCACAAACTAAATGTGGTCTGATTATTAGAGAACAGCCACGAACAGCACAACAGTTACCCG